AATGGTGGATCCGAAATGGCGACCAACTTAAAAAAAAAAAATGATTGGATTTGTTTGAAACTCTTAATCGCCATTTTGAATTTTGAAAATCCGACATCACATTCGTAATCAGCAACCCCAGAAACCCACTGGAAACGAGTTTCAACCCTTGACAATGCTTAAAACGTTCAGTATCAACGTTTTAATTTAAGTATTTTTTTTTTAATTTGATCGCCGTATTTGATCCGCTATTTTGACTTTAACAAAACTGAATTCAGATTCGTAATCGGCGCCCCAAAAACTCTCGAGTGCCGGTTTTCGAACAAATCCAATCATTTTTTTTTAAATTGATCCCCATTTTGGATCTCCCATTTTGAATTTTGAAACACTGACTCCAGATTCCTAATTAGCAACCCCAGAAACCCCCTGGTAACAAGTTCCAACCCATGACAACGCGTAAGTCATTCACCATCAACGATTTAATTTTACTAGTCTCTTTTCGAGAGCATATTTTCGGCACTAGGCCCATTCTAACTGCCCGAGGCAGGTGTGTAATTAAGGGAATGTTCCCCAATACTACCAGAGTAATTATATGTAAAAACCACATTTTTAGCTGCATTTTAACATGTCAAGAAAATAAAAAAATGAGAACATCAGCGTTTTATAAAAAACCGACCAGCGCGACCTCTAAAAAAGATTTTTTTTTTTTCAAAATAAAAAACCACGTTTCTCTCTTTTTATCACAAATAACGAAAATTTGAGGCAGCGTTTATGAATTTCCAAAAACAAATTTTTTGACCGACTCAAGTGTGTAGGTATATCGACTTTTGAGTAACAGATGGCGCAGCTCCGGGGAGATATTTATAACCTAATTGATTAGACCTAATGTGGATATGTTACTCTTTTGGTAATCAGAGTATGTACAAATGACCATATTATATATGGATACATATCTATGTGCATCTCAATACATTACACGCAAACACTTTTTTGTGATTTCGTCAGATCTGTACCGTTCGTTCGATTTTACAAAAGAAGGTTATCAAATTAAAGGGCTGGACCTGAAGATGTGCAATAACGTTTTATTTTTCCAGAAGGAGTTGGCACCTGTTAAAAAAAGTATTTCAAATAATTGAAAATATTTTGAAAACAACTGCCACATGTTTACGAACTAAAAGTCAGTATGGATGTCAATCAAAATCGCATTCAAAGACGTTTGTTTCTAAACTACATGCATAAGCGTTGCCATCTGTTTAAAAAAAAAATTTAGTTCAACCTTAATTAAGGTTTGAAGATATTTTGAAGATGGTTGCCACCTGCTTAAAAAGTTTAATTTTATGCAATAGGTTTAATAAATTACTTCAATATAGAAATCAATCAAAATTGTTTTGAAGAGATTCTATTTCTGAACTACATGTTGGAGAGTTGCCACCTATTTAAAAATTTGAATTCAACTGGAATTACGAATTCTCATGCCAAAATTATTAGTTATTAGTTTTGAATTAAAAACTTCATAGATTTTAAAAATTTTCTTTATAATCATCAAGCTCTCATAACAGCTTGTGCCTTACTCGGCATGGGGCCGAGTTTAAAGCTTTCCAGCGTTTTTAATCACATTCAACTCATAGCGACATAGTTTCTCAATTTATTTTCAGCACTTTGAAATTCTTGATGAACTCACACTACCATCAAAACCTTACACATTGTCTCGCGAATGGACTTTGAAGAAAAATCGCCACTTAAAGGCAGCGCAGTGCATACAAAGCAATTTCATTATCGTTGTGTTTAACAAAGAAACACACAAACCCTCTGTTTTACTTCCTGAAATTCCAAGATAAGTATTTTCTCGCCCGAACACTTGTAATTTACATACTCGTATTTAAATTTATTTGTGTTTACAAAGCTGTTTCACTCACCGAAATTTATCCTATTTGTTTAATATGCCCCTTTGTTGGTCTTATTTGTCACAATTCCAGGGAAAGCGAGTGGCTGGATATTTGCTATTTTGCTACTGTAGATTGTTGATTTTGCGCGGCAAAATAAAAAATTTTTATTCCAATTGTGCAAGCCACCACTATTGAAGCGGGCAGAAAAAAAAAACAGCTTAACTACACACACAACACAACAACTAAGCACACCAACCGAAAACAGACATATGTACATACATACATATGGCAAGTGCGAGTTCTTGTATAGAACACTGCTATATGTATGTATACCTGTATAGGTGCCTTTATATATTTATATATGTACGTGTGTACATACAAATGTTGGTTCTAGCCTTGTATGTATCTATCTTACAGAAAATCTGCACAACTAGACAAAAATTTCGTTTCAAACGCGGGTTCGTATTCTCGCCGCCGATCAGCACCTTTTCAACAATTCTAGTTGGATTGGATCGTAGTGGATTGCATTCGGATGCCGTTTACTCTTGCATTTGGCTGTGTATTGTATGTATTTTCTTCTTTTTTTTTAGCAAATACTTCTAGTTAGAACTAAAAATAAGTAATTTCTTATAAATACATATCTATTGGGCTAGCGTTGTATTTTAACATTTTATTTATGAATTTTTTTATTTTGTTTACACAATATGTATTTCATGTCATTTTCGTGGAGTAACTTTTTCTTCTCTCTCCCTTTTAGGAGTTTATGTTTCTAATTTAGTTATTAATTTGTTTACTTTGCAAATATTTTTTATGTATTATTGAAACTCACGCCGCGCCGAGCGCCGACTAACTGACGTGCGCAAACTCTCTCGGGGAACTGAACTGAACTTGGCCTCTGACGCCATCTTAGTCGTCAAGTCCAACTTGAATTTTCAACTGGAATATAAATACATAGATATCTGCCTTTCTAGTTGGATTGAAGCGGGTTGAGCGAGTGAGCGCGTGTGTGTGTGTGTATTGCACGTTGCAAATGATCAAAGCAGAAGTTGGTGAATCGCTCTTTGTAGCAGGTGAGCGCAGGTGAGTGTTTTATTGTAGAATATTATGTACAGTGAGAAAATTTGTTGACAAATTTCACATTTTAAACAAGAAAATCTTTACCACTTTGGCTTTGAAAGACCTCAAGGATACGCCTATAATATTATATGGAAAATATACTCATACATTTTTATAAATTCCATTCATTGTATAAAATAAAATGCGAAATGTTTGGGCTTTAAAACTGGGCTATAAAACTATATACCCAATGTTGGAAGTTTTGATGAAAATTTCTTGAATTTGTCTATATTTCATACTCGCAACTAATCGGCGTGCTTCTCTGCGCCTTTAAATAATCTTTGTGTTCTCACTCCCTCCCGAAACTTCTCATTAATAAAAAATAATTTTGACATCCGTACGATAAATATTACATTTGTTTTAGCAATTTAACTGAATAAAATTTTTCAAATAGGTGGCAACCCGTTTCAAAAATACTTTCGACAGTAAACTTTTTAAACGTCTTTAATTTTATACCCGTATTAATCATGATAAAAATATAGCAAGGTAGAACCATTCTCTCACTTCGTCGGCCATGATTTTTTTTTTGAAGTTTGCCAACATTTTAAAATCATATAAAAGTGAAAATAAAAAAATGAAATGTTCGAAATTGTTGTTGCTTGAGTTTGAAAATGAAAATGTGTGTGTGAGTTTGTGAGTAAATTTAAAATATAAATTGTTTGGAAACGTCAAGAATTTGAAAAGTGACTCTCAGCGGATCTACCTTACTATATTTTTATCATGGTATTAATAATATTCCATTTATTTTATCAATTTAATTGAATAACATTTTTCAAACAGGTGAAAATTCTCCTCAAAAATATTTTCTGCAGTATAATTTCCTAAAACTCTTGATACCCATATTGCAATATTTAATTTATCTTCTCAATTAATTGTATTAAAATGTTTAAACAGGTGGCAACCTTTCACAAAAACATTTTTGTCTGCAGGCCCTCATAAAACTCGATTCATTTGACAGCCATATTGCGATATTTATTTTATGTCATCAATTTACGTAAGCAGAAATTTTCAAACAGGCGGCAACTCTCTATTAATTTCTGTATTTTAAGTTAGACCGCTGGCAATACATCGGTGAAAACTGCATTTAATTTCATGCATTAGTTTTGGAATGCTACACGTACAAACATACAGGCAGACAGACCGACTAAAATTACCTTTAATTTATTTCCATTTATCCAATGATTGGATCTAAACCAAATTGGTATGTGACCACTCTTGATGTACCAGCTTTCCAATAAAAAAAAATCATGATATCGGATATCGTGGTCCAAAGTTATACGGTAACATACATAAAAAAATATTCCTCCTCCTTTTTTTGAAATCGGTTTAAAAAATTACCTTTTCATCGATTCTGTGAGTTACTTTATATATATTATATTACGACGAGGAGACCTATTTTACCGGAACTCTTCTCTATGAATTCAGAAACTCCGATTTTTAAATATTGTAGAGCAATAGTAACAGTATTAGATTAACCTATATAGGAAACGCCCTTTCTCAGAAAAATTTTCAAGAACGCCCTATCTCAGCTTCCGATTCAAAAACGCCCTATCTGAGCACATTTTCAATACATTTTTATTTGAGGTAGGGGGCTTTTGAACCGAATTCTGAGATAAGGCATTTTCCAACCACCTGCCGTCGATAGGTCGATCTTCCACTCAGCCGTCGTTATATTTATTTAGAATCATATTTAAGTTGGTCTATTTTGAACAAAGATTGAAAGCCGGGCATAAATTTGAAATTTAATATTAACAAAAATATTCTTTACAAAAGAGCTATGGTGACTTGTAGGCTTTCGAAGTTTACTCCCAGTCAACGCATTTTATCAACAGTTTGTTGAACGTACACATACGTACGTAATTATATTCTCTTGTTGAGACCTCCATTTCTCCCTCTCGCACATAGCCACACACACACAATTATATAAAAGTACTTATTCGTGACTTCCAATTCTTCATCCAAAACATTCCAGTTGGAATTGCTGCCAAGTCACTAACTCGGCTCAAAGCGCTGAGGTGGCTTACCAAGCAGCACAAGATATTCCAGCTTCAGTTAATGTGAAACGTTTTTTGTGTGCGGACGTGTCGGCGGATTGTGAAGCAGCGACGTTGTATCACAGTTAACGTTGAAGTGTTTTCTTAATTATTTTCTCTCAGCATTCCTATTGGAGCGAGATCACCAACCTTGTTCTTGTTTTTTTTTTTTTTTTGTTTTGGTGACTAGCGTGCATATGTATGCATAAGTATGTGTTAATCGCCATGTCAGCGTGAGTGTTTTACATAAACGTAGCTAACGAAAATTGTAAACAAAACAGAAGCGGTAAGAGAACTTGGCATTTTTGGATATATGCTTGGGTGTGAGCGCGAGAATACAAACCAAGAATAGCAAAGCAAAGCGGCGGCTGAGCAAGTGACATGAAAATGATCGGCAGCGATTACGTACTGGAGGCGCATAACATTTTCCATACCACAGAGGTACAAATACAATGTAATCGGGAACAGAATAAACGTGTGTCAAATAAATAAATAATAATTAAAGTCTATTTATTATCAAGCTAATTAGTTATATTTCTTTTATATGAAAAAAAAACAGCAAAATAGTTGAAAAACACATCCTCAAGTTCGTGGCTAAAGTCTTTTGATTTCGGTTAAAAAATCCTTCTAATTTTCCACACAGGTGGATGGCGGTGGCTGCTTCAATGGCGGCGGCAGCTCGGCGCTTGTGCTCAAAGGTGTCAATTTAACTGTCCACAGTGGCGAAGTGATGGCCATTCTGGGTTCGAAAGGTAATACATCGCTATTTTATTTGTGTGTGAATGCTCTAATAATAATACGAATATTTCACACAGGAAGCGGTAAGCGTGCTTTGTTGGATGTCATTGCACGCCGTGCAGATGGTATGACGCGTGGTCAAGTATTACTCAATGGCTCACCGCTGACTAGAGGCCTCTTCCAGCAACGGTGCGGCTATGTGACACAATCATGCACTTTCATACCTGGACTGACGGTGGCGCAAACGCTACATTATACGCCAACAATAGTAAGAAGAGGAAATATTTTAACGCAATGCTTTTTTTTTTTTTTGTTTTTTGTTTATACACATATTTATTTGGTTTCAATTTTCTATGTAGCTTTCGGGATATTTGAAAAGTTCAAAAGTACGCCAAGTCCTTGCCGATTTGGCGCTATCTCAAGTGGCTCACAAGCGTGTCGAATATTTGAATATGAGTGAGGCGCGTCGTTTAGCTATTGGCATACAACTTGTCAGAGATCCTGGTACGTACAATGACTTAAGAATTGTTTTTTTTTTTTTTATTTGTACAATTATTACTTAGTAGAGTGCCAGCGACTGTCGAAATTCGACCGTTTTTATAGTTTCTTAGAGTTCATTGGAAGCGAGTTCATTGGAAGTGATTCGTTGAAATGCCTCTCAGTCTCTTTTATTTCTAAACCTCAGTAAGATGCTAGTTTTCAACTAGGTTGCGCAAGTTAGAATTTTTCTTCTAGTGCGGTTTTGAAATAGAGCAGCCTGATGCTTTGTATTTTGACGTTTTGGAATGCACCCATACTTTGAAAATTCCAAAAACTTTGATTTCATAAACCAACAAATTTTGATTAATCCAAAAATACCGATAGCTCGATAATTTGAAACAAATCGATACAGCAAGACAACTGCATACATTTCCTTAACTCGATTAACTACGATAACTATAAATTTTGATCACCCGATAAATACTGATTATTCAATAAATATCATCTATATATATAATACGCGAAGGGGTTTTTTGTCCCGGCCATCAGATCTGCAGCGTTCGTACAATTTTCAAAAATGAGATGTCAAATTAAAGGGCTTGGCCTTTAGATGTGCAACAAAGTTTTACTTTTTCGAAAAAGGTTGCCGTCTATTAAAAATTTTAATTCAAATTATTTAAAATAATAAATCAACTATTCCTATATGAGTATCAATCTAAATGGGTTTGAAAGGACTTTTTAAACTTTTTAAACTAAACGTATGAGGGTTGTCACCTATTTAGAAAATCAAATTAAATTTGAATTAAGGGAATTAGGCAAGAAAAATATGTAGCACCATGTGGGTGCAAAACGAAAAGGGTTTCAGAAGGTAGTAGCTGGAATATATTTTGCAGAAGGTTACCACCTGCTTGAAGAGTCGAATTTAGTTAAATTATACACAGGTTATATGAAATGTCAAAATATGGATTGCAAACGAAAGAATGCTAAGAAAGCTTTAGTTTTAACACTAAGAACATTTCTTAGGGTTTGGGAGAGGATTGCCACCTGTTTAAAAGTTAAATTCAAATTATTTAATAAGTTAGATGAATTATTAAATTATGGGGTTCAATCGAACGGGGTTTGAAAAATCTTTACTCCTGAACTATATTTAGCGGGGTTGCCACATGTTTAAAATATCAAGTCCAATTTAGTTCATCAGTTTTATAAAGAAGATTTAGTTTGAAACTACTTTTGAAAGGAATTTCCACCTGTTTTAAAAGTCGAGTTTAGTTACGAAACTTTGATACTAACTAAGTATATACGTATATTATACGAGAAGGCATTTTTTGTGATTGTCATTTCATTTCCACCATTCTTCGAATTGCCATAAATAAAAGACCTTTACCTGTAGAGGTGCGATAAAGTTTTATTTTTTAACTAAGAGCTTTTTTTGTCGATATAGGGTGGTTTGAAATTTTATGAAATTAAAAACCTGCACTATGCGAAACATCTCTTCAGCCAGAAACGGCTGCACGGATTTAGAATAAATATAGCACTCGGATCGCTTATAACTGGCTGACTAACATTTTGAATATATTTTTAATTTGTGAAATACCATTTTGGGCGTTTCAACGCCATGCGGGTTCACTAGTATAAAATAAAAATTCAATAATACGATACATTTTTATAACTCGATAACTATCGGTAAATTTCTACAACTAAGATGCTGCGATTCTGCGCCTCGATAACAAATTGAATAACTCGATACATTCCGATAACATTTAAAAATGGCTAATCCCATATATTTCGATAATCAAAAACTTCGATAACTAAATTTCTGATTACTGGATATATTTCGATTCTTATCAAAAAATTTCAATGCATATTCTTAGCCTTTCAGTTACCCTAATTTTTATGTATGTATATATATTAGATATTCTCATTGTTTTCATTTTCGTCTTTATCTTCAATTTTGCCGTCATCATTTCTTTCTTCATCTTCACATTTATCTTTATTACAAAGAGTAATTTCAAATAAAAATTAATAAAAACTCGAAAACAACTCAAATGGAATAATACGGAAATTTTTAAATGATGATTTTGGCCGCAATTTTCAATCAATTTTGAATCCAGGTGGTGGATTTTTTCGTGTATAAATAATCACCAATCAAATATGTATTTATTTTCAAAATTCTCAATTCACATTTTTCTCTTCCAATTTTTTTTTAGTAATGCTCCTTCTCGACGAACCCACCCAGGATTTAGATCCACTCAGCGCTTATTTGCTCATATCAATACTTTCGAACAGCGCCAAGAAAACTGGTTGTGGCATTTTGCTATCCTTGGAAAAGCCACGCTCCGATGTATTTCCCTTCCTCGATCGCGCGCTTTTCCTTTGTCTGGGTGGTGTAGTTTACTCTGGCGGTACGCGTGCAATGCTGGAATATTTTCATAGTATTGGATTTCCATGTCCGCAACTCGAGAACCCCCTGATGTATTATCTCTGCTTGTCAACCGTGGATCGCAGGTACATACATACATACATACTATGTGCTGAGAATTATAAAAAATTGCAAACAAAATTTTTAATTCTACAGAAGCCGCGATCGCTTTTTGGAGTCCAGCCAACAGATTGAAGCCTTGGTGGAGCGCTTTTCACGCGAAACTCCCCTAACTGATGCGCCACTTAACACAATGGGCAACGGTAAAGTACCGCTGGCCTATGGAAAACCTGGCGAACTAAAAGTTTGGATTATGTTGTATTTGTAAGTAATGCGTTCTGAGGGGGAGATTCTCTAACGACATTCACATCATGCGTCAACAAGTGCGATTGTTGCGACAAGAAAATTGTCGCTAACTGGTTACAGAATCTCCCCACTAAAGTTTTTATAACTTTAAATAGTATACTCTCATTCCGTTCCAATTAGAAAATTGCTTGCTTCTACGTTCTCCTGTGGCATGGCTGGCATGAAAGCACTCTTTTTGCGTCTACTGTTACTACCGTTGGCGATGGCGCTTATGTGGCTCTTCTACACAAATGTTGGCGTAAGTTGTTACCAAAATTTGTTTATCTTGTTACTTAAAACGAGCAATTCTATATGTTGACCAATTTTGGCTATTTTTAATTTGTCTATTTAATGTTTTTTAACTTTTTTTTTTGTAAAAGTTTAGCACATTACATGACCAGCAGTACATAAAAAATTCCACAAACTTTAACAATTACACACGAAAATTTTAAACTTTTTATTCAATATTTCAGGTATGCTGTTTATAGCCCATTAAATTTAGTAGTTTAAGTGTAAATTTTGAGACACAAGAAAATCGCGTTGATTGTTAATAATTTTTTTAGCCCGACAATTACTTTTATATGGAGGGAAATGCCTAGCACCGTCAGCAAAAAAAAAAAGTGATATCCACGCGATTTTCTAGCGTTTTAAATTTTGCAATTTAGCTTACTAAAATTTAATAGGCTATAAAACTGCATAGCTTAAATTTTTCTAAAAAATTTTAATAAGAACTTTAAAATTTTTGGGTGTGATTCATGGTAAGAATGTTTTATTTAATTTGAGAATGGTTTCGCTTAACATGAAAAAGTTTTCATTTAATTTGAAAAAGATTTCGCTTAGTTTGATAATGGTTTAATTTAAAGTGAAAATGCTATATATTAAGGTAACGATATACCATACATATACCATATGTAGGTTTCTCGGAAACAGTTCTAACGATCATGACGAAATTTGGTTTCTGATAATTTTTTGCCATCTAAAGTTATTTACATATATAGGTGTTGTTGTGTCAGGAAATTTTCAAACAAGGTTTCCACCTATTTGAAATTAGTTGCAAATTACAAACAGTATGAAATTTAAGGACGAGCACATAAGCGACTAATATGTTTCTAAAAGGTAGAAGATAAGAAGACGGTTAAAGAAACTCTCAAGAATTATAGACTTAGCTTAGATATCTAATCGGATTTTGACCTTGAGTTCTAATTGGTTTCAAATTTCTAGTGTTTTCTAATCATTCCGCAATCAAATTCTAAGGTGGTTCCCTAACCTGATTTTTGATTCGAGAACTAAATACTTTACAATTCCATTGTAAAATCAAAACGTTTTCTAGTTTTTTGTTAGAAACTTGTTTGCTGGGTCGCGAATCACATGATTAAAAATATGCATATGCGCACCCAATGAAGATTGAAAAAACAGCAGAACTTCTCCATGTACGACAACAACATAAATGACAAAGATTAAATATATTAGGAAATATGTGGATAAAAAACAGAAACCCTCCAAAGGATAAATATCAGATGAACAAATACATAAATACTGCATCGGGCGTTCTATTTTAACATCTAAAACTACTGTACGAGAGAAGAAGAAAATACACTCGCTAAAAACCAAAGGAAAAAATCATGGACTGCCGTCAAAATAAAGACACAACAATTCATCTACCTATTGAGCCCCGCAAAACTAAGAAGACGTATCTGCCACAGAAAATAAAGTAGTTAATAAGGGGTATAAATACGAGCAATCAATAATAATGAACCAGAACGAAGGGATAACGGAAATTCGTTCCAAAATACGTCATACACCCACCCTGTCGGAAACAACAACAATGAGCAAGGAAACATTTTAAGGATCCCCAATTCAGAAATATTTTTGCCAACTATTTTCCATTGGTAGATTTATTATATTTTTTGTTTAGGAAATGATTATCAAATGAAAGATATTTTTGAGTACTTTAATCCAAATACATATCGAGCCCTAACCGCCAAAATGTCGTAAGCGACATTTTTTTCAAAATTTTCTTTTTAATGCAGAAATACATCTAGATGCTCTACGAGCATTTCTGCATCAAAAGAAAGTTTTGAAAAAAAATGTCGCTTACGTTATTTTGGCGGTTAGGCAATATATATATTTGAGGACATTTGCTGCGTATTTGTTTGTAATAACCAGGGAACGGATTTTATGGAAATTGCCTTTTTTTCTGCTAAAGATATAGAGTATATTCGATTAAGAATGTCCACGATTTAGCTTTCCCTGATTCCATATATACACATTTGATGTTGCCTTTTATGCCTTTTTTAAGATATTTGCCTTTTTTTGCCTTTTTTAAGATATTTGCCTTTTTTTGCCTTTAAAGATTAAAAAATATACACTTATAGAAGCGCAGAGACCTCTTGCCAAATTGATGTTGGAAAAATTTAAAGCCGTTATCTCAGCTAACGAAGGCTTGGAGATAATAAGGGGTGTGGATAAAATTATAAAGGGCGAGGAAAACGCCCTTATTCCTGATAATATGAACTTTTTAAACGTTCCATATTTAAATTGGGCGCCGCTTATATCAACTTACGTCGAGCACACATTTAGTATATTCAAGGCTTTTCTTCGCGAAAATCGAATGAAAATGCTGCCAGAAAACTTCAAAATGCATCTTGTGGTTCAATGTTACTACAACTATACAGATTAAAGTTTTATTAGTTCGAAGCTCGAAAGGATAAAATAGTCAAAGATTCAAAGTACAAATTTTTCATATAATGAAACTAGTTCATAGTTTTTCTTTTTTTACTTGTAATATAAACATTTCTAAAATAAATGTATTTTTTGATTGTTCTTCGTATTTTCTGTCTATTTGGTGCCCTATTTTGCCTTTTTTGCAACACCTAGTGCCCTTTCCTGCCTTTTTCGCTATTTTATTTTGACTTTTTCAGCCTATTTCGTTATTTTATTTTGCCTTTTTTATAGGTTTTTAGGTCCTAAAAATCCGTTCCCTGGTAATAACCCTGCAGTACGGGGGAGCGCCTACAGAACTAATGTATCGGTAAACTCCGTGCAGAGTCGAACCAGTCGTAAGTAGAATAGCGAAAAACTACGACAGAGGGCGCCCATAAATCACGCAAGTGACTACTTTAGTAACTCCCGGTAGTGCAGAGAGAGCCGATGATGACTACCGCCTAGGACATTGCCTTGTAAAAGTAGTCGATGAAATACACTGCAAGTAGTCGGTCGGTAATTGACGGTGTTTATCAGGTAGCTACCAATTCAGCAGTCCTGTAGTCACTTCCCCGTACTGCAGGGTAGCGATTGACTCCAGCAGTACTGGAGGGAAGAATTTGTAACGTATTAAATTCAACGAGCATTTTTGTATGTATGTATATGCAGTGCATACACCCAAAATACGTACTCTTTGTCCCGGCGTATTTCTAATTAGGGTTGCTACCTAAATTTTAATGTAAGATATTTATTTGGTTTATTAGCTTTAGTAGCGTTTTCTCAAGTAGGATTTAAAATATATCAGCCCTTCAGACACGAAATTAAGAACAAAATTTATGTCTAAAAGTTACATATATAAATTTTAAAACCCGCTTGAGAAAACGGCCATTAAAAAGTTAAATTCTTTAAAATTTATTTTCAAATTAGTCTTTTTGTAGAATTCTGTGATATCGCATAGGCTTAAACATTGAGAATATTTTTGTTTATCAACTTACTTTTTCAAGTTTTTTATTTTCATATTGGTTCAATGAATACTGAGGTGCTTATTAGACTAAAATACTTATTAACGCATTGATATTTTTTTAACATGTAAGATATGTATATCGTAATGTCAAAAATATTACATAAATAAAAAAAAATTATTTATAACTTTAAGCTATTTAAATGAACACTATTTAATACCCAAACCTGGGAAACTTTAAAAAGTATATTCACTCCGAGCAAAGCTCAGCCAACCTGGTACTAAGTATTAAATATTACATTTTTTCATTCTTTTTTTTTTGTTTTAGGATGATTCGCATGGCTTCTTCAGCAAAAACGGCATGATACTCAATATTATTGGCTTGGCATATGGCTGTGGCATTCTCAGCACAATCTCACTATGTACTTAGATAAATAATGCAAAATGAATTCGTAAAAATCTTAAATTCAAAAATCCTCCTCCTCTATTTTAGTTCCAATCTGGCGCAAAAGATTTTCACAGGATACACCCGAAGGCCTGTACTCAGGCGCCACGCTGCTCATCGCCTACAACTCCATTGCAATTCCATTCTCTTTAATATCTGCAATGTTCGCCAGCTGTGTCATTTATCCGTAAGCTTTTCTAATACTTATGTTCGCAATCATATACATATGTACATACATATCTTTCTCTATCTACTTAGTTTGTTGCTGGATCCCAAATTCCCGAATGGCACCATTTTCATATATTTGCTGGTGGCCTTGTGGTCCAGCTTTGTGCTCGCCGAACAGTTGAGCATCGCATTCTTGTTGCTTGTTAAGGTGCCCTTTAATGCCGCCATTGCAGTCACTTACATACTCGTGATTAGCATATCCTTAGCCAGTGGTACGGTGCGCTCGTTTAAAGGTTTGCAGCCGTGGTTGCAGGACAATACAAAAGGCACACACACACGTTATGTGTCCTCATTGTTGCACAGCATTGCTTTCCAATCGCGTAAAATGAACTGTATACCCACCGCGTCCGTCATATGCCCCAAGCCTACGGATTTTCTACACGAACGACTCGGCATGGCTGATCCCGATGTAAGATGAGTTCATTTTTAGTTTCCTTTTGACGAAATAAATAAAGAAAAACCTGTGTATGTATGTATATGTACTTTTGCAGGAAACAATTGATGTGGCCGCTTCGTGTGCTTTTGCCGTTGGTTTGGCTGCCTTTAATATGTTGCTCTATTTGTTCCCGATGCCGAGATGTGTGAGACAGAAATTTAAAGACTGAATCAATGGTAGAAACGAGGAAATATTTATCCGTTCGCAGCTCCACTTAATTGCATTTAAGGACAAGACGTTTTACGCGTAAAATATATAGACAAACATGTATTGATATTTTTTAATAATATAAGTGACTTTTGAAGCCTATGAGGATTTCCTACTGCTCCTCGGGATGGGTTTCTTATTATCCACTGCATATATCAGAGGATATCAGCCACTAATCTTGCTACCCATTTTAAAATGCTCTTGCACCAACTTTGCTATCAATCAAGTCTTGAAGCGTAGGCAAATAGTATACAATAAGTATGTATGTATGTAGCTTAGAGTGGTGCAAAATTACATGGGAGTAGTTTAAAATGTTAAGCCCTCACCCCCTAGGAATTTTCTAAATTGAAAAAATTAAGACTTATATTTTTTGGTTTTAAAAAGAAATGATATTTAGAACTGCCTCAAAGCTCGTGAAGTTTACCATTTATTTTATATTGGAAATACACTTTTCCGTAGAAATTGTATACAATTCTTGAAAATCAATATTTTTCGATCGGGAAACTGTGTTTCTCTTTAGGAGACTTCCAATGAAATTTCCTGATTGTTTATTTAACCATTTTGTCATATTAATTATATTGTATAGGTCCCTCAAAAACGCCAAAATTGCAATGTTAGTATTAAAAAAATGGTGTTATTGTTGAAAGACTCCTGAGGACAAACAGAGTTGTCCGCTGGAAAAATATTGATTTTCAAGAATTTTAAGCCATTTCTACGGAAAAGCTTTTTCGCCATAAAAAATGCATGGAAAATTTCATGAGCTTTGAGGCAGTTCTAAATATAAATTTTTTTAAAGAAAAAATCCATAGTGGTGAGGGCTTAACATTTTGCACTTTTTTGAACCACCCTAATGTTCATATACATATACGCTGACCATCCTATATTTCAAGAAACAATACTTTATTTTACCTTTTGTGTTAATGAGGGACGACACGATAATTATATTTACTGTGGCATTGGTACTAATTGTAGAAACCCTGCAAAAATCGCGACTACTCCATGCATGCGTGTAAAGAGTACTCCCTAAGGACCAAGGAGTACTCCAAAATTAACCACAATTCACATAAAAAATATCCATCCCTGCATTACATCAGAGTAGCACAAAACTACTCCAACATATTAACAATGGCATTGTTGTTATATTTTTTCGTTTGTACACGCTTTTGTTCTTCACTTCTCAAATGCTTTTTCGAAATTAATAAAAACCATAAACAAAAATTAAAAATTACATGTTGGCTTTGACTGCATTCGAACCCGAGCATGCTGGGAGCTAAGAACTAACAGCGAGCATCTCTACACGTTCAGCTACAACCAAACATGCAAATGTGCTCTCAAATGCTCAACTTCAGTCACATTTCGTTAAAACACGAGCAGTGATCGGATAACAAACAATAAGCTGGCGCAGAGACACGATTTGGTCCGCTACAGCATGACAGAACACTTTTGTAAGTACTCCAATTTACCACAAATAGTCTACATGGTCCAACGATTTTTGCAGGGAACTCTGACAAAAATAAGCGAGTGGAAGGACAAGGAAACAGCTGGAGAAGCAAAGCGTTTCATTGCAGCTTTGTGCAGATTTCAGCCTGAATGATGTCTCATTTGTCACTCAATCATCCATCATAATTCTTCGGGAAGAGGCTATCGATTTGGTAAAAGCATCAACGATGATATATACGCTGGCTATGTTTTTTCATTCTTCATGAATCATTTTCCTAAATATACCATTAAGTTTTGGACAAAATAATTGTAAATGAGCTAAAATCATCACTGGACACGAATAAAGGCGCGAGCTTTAAAGTTGGCCACGAACTAAGACGCATGGAAAAAACTACAGCAATGAAAGACGCGTTAAAATATTTGACAGCGAAGAAGGACGCGTAAACTTATTTTCGCGATCAATTATGTTTGCGGGTGTATTGGCTAGAGTATGTAAATTCCCTAAAGAGTTTTTGGGGAATGATGCTGAAGTGACAGCCCTTGGCCAGGTATAAATCTATGTTTACGCGTCTTTATTCGTGTCTAGTGACGAAATGTTGTGATATGGTTATGGTTCCAATGCGGAAAAAATGATTAAAACAGTTATGGTTTCCTGGTTGGCTTTGCTTATGATTTCTGCTACTCTACAAACCAGCATTGGATTATATATATTTTATATATATATATATCTGATAATCTTCTGTACATCATTAAGGAGATCATCTCTATTTAAAGGAAAAACGCATTTGCACATGTGTATTATCCAATCAGTAATTTTCTTCTTTTCTTCTGAAGACAGATACCATGCAGAGCCAGTCGTTCCGCTTCTGTGCCTACTGACGCCAATCGCAAATGCCAAGTGAATACTTTCAGAGCTGGAGCGTTTCTGTCCATTTGTACGCCACGACCACACCAGCGCAGCCGCTGGATTTTAGTTTTCTGCTCTATGTCTATATCGCTTCAAAGCTCATACAGATCATTGTTAATTATTATACGGTATGCGCCATCGCCAACGCGTAAAGGCCCGTCAATCTTTCTCTCGAAAACTCCAACAGCCGCTTCATCAAATTTTTTCATTAGGGGTATTCTCTGAGTCTTGCAAAGCCCTTGCATGGAGCACAGATTGCACGGTAAAAACCGGTTTTCGTATGGGACAGCTTTGCAAACCGTGCAATCCGTGCACCGTGCAAGGGCTTGCAAGACTCAGAGAATACCCCTATTGTCTATGCCTCTGTGCCATACACCAGCACGGGCATGTTGAATGACTTATAGACTGTGCTTTTTGTACGACGAGAGAGGGCTTTACTTCTCAACTGCCTACTCGGTCGATTCTGGTGTTAATTCTGGTTCCCAAATAAGCGAAATCGTCTAGTTTTTCAAACTCGAGACTGTCAAGAGAGAAATGGGTGCCAAGACGTATATGCTCTAACTGTTTGTGTGATGACAGGTGATACTTCGTTTTATTCTCGTTCACCACCAGCCTCATTCGCTTAGCTTCTGCATCTAATTCCGGGAAGGCAGAACAGAAGTAGCCCTTGTTTTTGCTGATAATGGCGATGTCATCGGCATACGCCAGCACTTGCACGCTCTTGTAAAGTACTGTCCCTAAGCTTTTCAAATCGGCGGCTCTTATTATCATCTCCAACATCAGATTAAAGAAAACACTCGAAAGGGTGTCACCTTGTCTGAAACATCACTCAATTGGCTCGAAGAGGTCATTCCGAGTTCTGACGAGCTGATGGTATTTCTTAACGCCATTTTACACAGCCGTATTAGTTTCGCTGGGATAACAAATTCAGACATCGCGGCGTATAGGCAACTCCTTTTAATGCTGTTGAAAGTGGTTCTGAAATCGACAAACAGATCTATCTAGATGGTCTACGTTGGATTTGCCAGGTCTAAAGTTACAATGATAAGGCCCAATCAGTCTTTGACACAAAACGCTCGATAAGACCTTATAGCCGATGCTTCAAGGTTGATCCCGCCGTAGGTTCTTATTATTACCGGAGTTCACCCTGATCTTTAAACTCTCCGTAAGTGCCCTAACTCTCTGGTGAAATGTTCGGGCGTTTGTGCTGTCGACCAATATTTAAAGCTCTTACGTAATTCGGCCTCCCTTTTCTTATAATAGGTGGCATACAAAGTGCGTCTGACCCATGAGTCGGTTTGGATATGTTTGTGAAAATAAATATGTGTTAGTTACACCAACATGAGTCCCGTCATGACTCCGAACGATTCAACGTACACAAATGACTCGCGAGTCAGACGCGCACCGTCTTTGTTGCCTATTACGTCAAATACGTCGCGTTTCCCTCTTCAATTCCCTATAGTGGTCCCTTAGTCGGCATCGTTTTTCTCTGTAGTTTCTTGACACTCCTCATCGTACCATTTGTCCTTTCCGGCTCGCTGAAATCCGACTACTTCTTCGGCGGCGGTACTTATTGAGTGGGAATTGGTGTTCCACTACGCGCGTATGTCGGTTTGTTCAAGAGAGCTCTTTGAGAGCAGGTGCGATAGTCCAGTGGAAAACAATGGAACACAAAACTTCGCAATTTTTCCAATGTCACATGAATAGTTGCTTTCAAGTGAGTTTTAAATTATTTCTATAAAGTAAATTACCTTATCTGCCAAAAGTAAACGACTCATTTTTTTATTTTAAATATTTATTAAAATTTATTTACAGCAAAAACTTACAAAGTAAATACATTTACTTTGTCATTACAATAAATTGCCATATCGAACTTATGTACTTAACTCAACGTGAATTCTTTGTAAAAAAAATTAAGTAAAAGTAAAAAAAGTATAAAAATTATTTTGATTTCGTAAAATTCATATGCATAAATAAAAATACATTTAGTTCAAAAAAAAATTAAAAAGAGAGAAATTAAAATTGCGTATTTTTTCAAAAATAAACCGTAATAAACATTTTCACCTTCATAATGCTCAAAAACTTTTAACTTAAAATGTTGAGTATTTGTCTAAGGACTATGAACTGCGGCAGTTATCGCGTATTTTTCTTTTAAATTATTTCAAAAATAACTAGAAACACGCAAAATAAAATAATTATATTACAAAATATTTGATTGGGTACAAAAAAAAAGATAATCGTTCAATGAGCAGTGGGGAGTAGTATAAAGACAGTGGGTTGATGAAGTTTATGTGACACTTAAAAACTCTGGCACTGGCACCGACTTCAAGCCTTACTATTTTCAAGGATTTTGAAATTTTTATTACATTTAAGTCAGCAGTAAAGTTGTGTGACGGTTCCACGCTTTAGCTGTTTGTGCTTAATGACACTGGGGTATTGAAAATTAATGGCGCGACTATGAAGTATATTTGTTGGTGTTTGTGTAAATTCTCTGAACGCTCTGAACACTTTTTCAGTTCCTGCGCGTTTTTACGAACTCAGCAATCTCGTACTCGGGATATTCCTGCGGTGACTCGCTCAGCGTGTCCGTATCGTAGTAGGCATAATCGTAGCTGGTATCCTCATCAGCGTGTGGTGGACGTTTTGAGGCGCCTTTAACTTTCTTTCCCTTCTTTGCCGAAGACTTGCTGCTCTTCGGCTTCTTGGTCACTTTCGGTGTGGACGAGTGGACGAGCGTATAGGGCGTTGTGGCAAATGTAGTTGGACGTCTCGTTGTCACTGTGGTCGATGGCGCAGCCGTAGTGGATGGGATGCTGTTGCTTGAAGAGTAGAGTTTAGTTGTCGGCTGAGTTGTCGACGAGTAGGCATAGTAATTGAAGGTTGTGCTGGGCGTGGTAGTCGTGTACGCAGTTGATGTCGCTGGGCTCGCGCTTGATACCTCCACCTTTGGACTGTACTGTGAATTGTATTGTTGCGAAGTCTTCTCCGCTTTAAAGATATCTGCGCGCAGTTTATTAATGCTGGCAGCACCGAAATTCAGCGAATGTGCCGTCTTGAAAAGTTCATCCTCATCGCTCAAGTCAACAGGTTCCGCTTGCTCCTGTTGTTTACGGAACGCAGTTTGCTGTTGAGTTTTCAAGTGCTTTTGTGGATTCTGAAAATCATTATTGTAACTATGTGGACGCGCCGTTGTTGTGGTTTTTGTTGTGGTAGACGTTGATGTAGAGGAGCGTTGTAGATTGAAGCGATTACGTGGAAAGTCGATCTCATATAACTCCGGATGGTATTGACCATCATCCTCATCGGGATCGATGTACGGATTGGCGGTAGAGGGCGTCAAATTATTGATTGCGATGCTAGGCTGCTTGGTCGTCTTGCTGGACGGCCGCGCAGTTTGTTGTGTTTGATAATAGTATGTGTCCAAAGGCTTTTGATAGGTGGTGGGCTTGAAAGTGGTCGGTGTAATCGACTGTTGTGATTTCGGCACAAGCGTGGAGAATTTCTTAGTGGTGCTGGTAGTTGGCGCATAGTAGTCTGTCTCACGTTGCGTCGTTGCCTTGTAGTTGATGCTGCCGCGACTGGCGAAACCACGTGGGCGCGTCTCAGGATTCGTCGTAGACTTCGCCGTGCTAACAGCGGCAGTTGGGCTAGTAGTACCACGCTGTTTTTGGGGGCCGCTAAAAGGCGCTGGCTCTTGATTACCATGTCGTAGCGACTTTTCGGCCGTTGAGCCGCGTGAGCGGTAAAATTGTGGCTCTTGATACTGACCAACTGATGTTGGACGGTGTGACGGTTGTGTTGCCTGTGACGGCTGCAGGGTTAGAGTAGGTTGGAATGGCTGCGGCTGCTGCAGTTTTATCTTCGGAAAGTCGTCGAATTCATTCAAAATGGCGGCGGAAGAGGCGTTGCGTGCAGCTAACTTTTGTTGTGTGCGTTCCAATTTTTGCGACTTACGCGCTGTGGCAGTGGGTTTATTGTGGCTCTTCGTCGACTCATTAGGCAGGTATGTATTTGGGCTCGGGCTTCGCCCTCTCGCGCTTCCGCCATTATCGCGATTCAGCTCGGTGTACTTTGGTGTCGTGCTCTTAATACGATAAATGCTGCTGGATGGGTTGTACGTAGTAGGCTCAATTTTCTCTTGAGTTTGGTAGTCGATCGAGCTGAAGCTGAAACGGTTGGGGATGTTGTAAGTAGGGCGGACAGTAGAGGTCGCTGTTGATGTAGATATTGCGGGTGCGACTGCGGCTGGCGATGGAGAGGTGTTGGGCTTTTGTTGCGTAACATCATAGGAACTGATGTTGTAATAGGTCTGCAGTGTGACCTTCTTTGTAGTTTTGGGTGCGTTGGTGACGGCAGATGTTGATGTTGTTGTGCTGCTAGTTGTTGTGCTAGGTTGCTGAATACGCTTCGGGCGTGTTGGTTGCGCGCGTGTTTTGCCGGTAGTGGATATTTCAGCTGTGGTCTTCTTGTTGTAGTCAATGAAATCGTTGAATTTCGTCTTCACTGGATGATCAATGAAATCATCCTCACGCCCACCATTGCGATTCGCAAAGAAATGCGAACTATGGGAACCTTTAAAGATGTCGTCGTACTCTTCTGCAAATGAATAGAAGTATCAAATAAATTTAGGTACCATAAGAAAATATGTGCATGCAAAGATAGAGCGCCTATTAATTAAGTTTTGCACAACTTACGTTTTGACTCATCAAAATAGCGTTCCGTGGTTGTGGACGTTGTTGTTGTTGTTGGTGTTGTTGTAGATGAAGTTGGTGTATAATAATTAACAATGGGTCGGCGCGCTGGTGTCGTTTCAATCTTCTTTGCCTGTGCTGGCTGATTTTGATATTCATTATTGTTGGCATTTGAATTCGCATAATTATTGTGGAAAGTGTTGCGTTGCTGTGTTGCGCCAAAATGTTTTGAATAGTTTGGCGGTTGATCGGGGCGTGACTTTTGATCTATGCGTGTCTCCTTTGAACGTCGGATATCGCCTGTTGGTGAAGAAAGCCATAGAGTTATGACATAATTATGATGAATATTGCATAATTAAATTTAATTAGTGGCAGACAGAGACGCTTACAGCATTTAACTGAATATACCTGGTATTGGACTAACATAAATTTAGGCATAGATAAATATTGATGCATTTTTTTAACAAAAATAATGTTAACACTTTTTGACTAAATTACTCACTATTCGCATAGCTCTTGAAGCAGAATATGCATGTTAGCTTATCCGGAAAGGTACTAAGTATACGATGAAAATCCGTTAGTCTAAAGTTTTGCTAATATTTCTTGAAATAACTTTATTTTAGTTACCTACCATAAATTGTATCCTCATTTCCAAAAAAAAAAAAAAAAAAAAAATCGATAAGTAATGCTATCGATATTTTCGACCAAACAATAAGAGTTAAAATTTGGCTTTTACTTTTTCGGCTAAAAATAACAGTTAAAGTTTGACATTAATTTTTCCGAAAATATAAAATAAAAGCTAGCTTTTGGTTTTAAATTTTTCGTTAAATAATAACGGTTTTATAAGGCTAAAATTGTTTCGCTATAAATTGTCTTTTGTTGTTTTCGTTAAAAAATAACAGTTTAAATTTGACTTTTAACTTTTCGATATTTTCGATCAAACATTAACAGTTAAAATTTGGCTTTAATTTTTTCGGCTAAAAACAACTGTTAAAGCTAGCTTTAGATTTAATTTTTTCGTTAAGAAATAACAGTTAATATTCGACTTATATCTTTTCGTTAATATTTTTTTATATTTTTTAAGAAATAACAATTAATATTTGACTAAAGTTTTTTCATTCAAATTTTTGCTTTATTTTTGCGTATAAAAATAACAGTTTAAGGGCCGTTTTCTCAAGTAGGTTTTAAAAGCTATCTACCCTTTAAACCATGGCTGCAAACCACTCCAAAAAACGGTGCGACTCAGTTCAGTGGTTCGAACCATTTAGAAAAAGCTTGTACCGGGTCAAGAACCGGTTCATGAGTATTCCTAAACTGCGGTTCTGTTCGGTTCAAATCGTTCAATTTGTTTAATGCTAAGGGATATAAATACATATTACAAAAATATGACAATTCAATGTATATAAAAATAAAAGGCTTCAAATATCCGCATGTACATATAGTGGTGGAAAAATAAATAGGCGCGCGACATTTTAGGTTTATTTTTTTAAGTGCAGTTCATCGTAATTTTTCGAAGTTTCATCTAAATTGCAAATATTTTAATAAGAATTTCTAAAAAAAAATGTTTAATATTTTTAAGTGGACCTTGGTAATTTGTACACGGGTTTTCTTCAATGCATGTTTGTTCGACAAATTTTTTGTATGAAAAAAAATTTAACTCAGCACGATCAAGGCGAAATTAAAAAAAAAAATCAATAAACTTTTTTCGAGTAGACAAAAACAACACACTCAGAATTTTAAAATTAATAATTAATTTCCACTGTATTATGGTGAGCACAGCTTTCTGAATCGCTATATCTCCGAAATGGTAATTGCTAGGAACAAAAAAGTTTTTATAGGTAATTGCATAATCTACACTTTTGTGACATTTATTTTTATGGTCCACTTTAAGGTTTGGCTGAAAATCCGAAACCCCAATTTATGTGACCTTTGACCACGAATAAATTTTTTTGCGGATTTGGAATCGATGGGAACTTCTCACATTTCATTTATAATAGCCTTCCCACCATTCATACCAATTTTCAGCTCAATGCGAAATGTTGTGAGCGTACCCCTATTTATTGAACTAACTTTACTGGGCTAAAAATATATATTTTAAATTTTCTTTTAAATCTTTTAAAAAACAAATATAATCGTATTGTACAGAACGGATGTCTTTTTTCCCTGCCTACTATGCATCCAATGTTAAGTACTTACCACTTTCTGCACGCTGTAAATGGAATGTGGCTTCTTCCTCCTCAGCAAGTGGCGCGCGTTTACTTTCGAATCCGGAACCTAAGCGGTAGAGATCAAAGTTGTCGCTACCGTAATAGAGCACAGAGGACTCGCAATCGACGTCACCCCAATCAGCACATATTTGCGCCTCCTGATCAAAAGCAGTGCCATTGGGACACAAGAAGCGGAAGTCCTGAACCTGTGTGGAGAAATTTCGCAAATTAATTTTTGTAGCATAAATAAGTTTTAATAATTTTGGACGAATTATTTGCAATCACATTGGACTGTAATAAAAATGGTTAGAGATTTTCTAAAGTAAAGTTTATAGGGCTATTCGCGATTCGGTGCATAAGAGCTGACAAATTTATGCAATTGCAGAAATATGCCATGGATTGTGAGCGACCTTTATTAAACTGTCATGGTAAAGCTTTTGCAAAACAATTTTTGTGCATCAGCTTTGGTTTTGTTTATGAATGCAATGCATAGCATTTTTATGCTATGGATTTTAGGTATTGCAAATTTGTCAAGCCATGACAAATGCAAATGCGTGTATTTTGTTTGTGTATTGCAAATAATTTGCAATACAAATTTGCAATGCAATGATGCTAGGCCATTTGCACCGGATCGCGAATAGTCTTTATGTGTTTAGTTTTTCTTGGCTTGATATCAGTGACAGCAGAGTACCTACATAGAAGAAGTCGAAGGTCCAAATGGACAGACCAAGTTCGGACCTGTCCAAGGACCTGTCTGCACTGCTATTCATAGCTGGTGCAATTTCGCAAAAGAGAGTGGCAGTTGGCGCAGTTTTTTGGTCACGGCCTAAACGGAGGAGCAGTTCTGAAGCCAGTTAAGAAGAAAGAAGAATACTGCTTTTTAACCGACTTCAAAAGAAGGAGGAGGTTATCAGTTCGTTGGAATATTATATTTTTTTTATGGATGTTATCGCATAACTTTGGACCACGTTAAAATAATGTTTGATAATTTTTTATATGGAAAAAATGTGCGACACCTTCAACAAAAAAAAAAAACTCCCAAAAATCAATGGCAAGACCTAGCTTTCTCATACTTGCACTTTATTTACTAAAATTGAATGGGCTAAAAAACTGCATGCTCAACTTTTTTCTAGAGAGCGTAAATAAAAAGTGCAATATTTGAATGATATTTTGCAGAATTTTCTTTAATTTTGCACATGGTTTGGAAGTTTGATTTTTGGGGTTTTTGTTGTATATAAATATAAATATTTGCCCGTATTGTAAAAAATTCGCTGTACCTAAACTTTATTGACTGACTGTATGTACATAACTGTGTCAAATAAAACTACAATTTTTTGCCAAATATTTATGTATTTGGGTTGAAGGTCACAAAAAAATTGTTGACAAAATTTCTATATTTTTTTCAGTTAGCGCTCGCAAAAATAAGAATCTTTAATGTGAAAAATTCTTTGCAACTTTTTTTTAATAAACAATTAAAACACACAACCTTGTTGCCCATTCAATTTTAAAATGCTACTTGCATGTTTGAAGTAGCTAGGATTTTGGGATTTTTTGAAGGTTTCATTAATTTTTTCCATATAAACAAGTCGTCGAACACACTTTGAATGGAAGAAAATGACTGACACCGTCAACAAACAAATACAAAAAAATACAAAAATCAACGATAAGTCCTAGCTACTTAAAACTTGTACTTAAATATTATACTAAAATATAACGGGCTACAAAAACGGGGAAAAAATTTTTTTAATTAAAAATTTTCATTTCGGAAAAGTGTTAATAGACGACTGAAATTTTGCCACAATTATTTTTATGTGACCGACAACGAAATTTTCATACGTGACCGAAAGAAAAACAAAACATTCGTTTTATTTGACCCCGTCTGATGTACATGCCTATTATTAATTATTTTTTCCATTGGCATCTTTATGAGAACTCACAATGGACTACTTAAAAATAACTATATGATTACTCATACCCCTAAGGCTAGACACCAAACATATATATACATACAGCCGTACATAGTTTCATATGCATGTAAATCCGTATGCGAGTATACTGCAGTTATGTTGCATTACAGCGCATCATAAATTTTATAATCAGCCGGAACAACAAAAATTGCGGAGCGAAAAAAAAGACAGAATAATAAGCTTTTGCAATGTATAATCAGCGCTTGAGTTGAACTCTGCCATTTGCGAATGCAGCAAAAGCTGTGGGATTCTTTCCACAAACAGATATAACTATTCACATTTATACACAACTATGTACTTACATATATACATACATATATGTATGTAGTATGTGTGTATAACTCGTACATAATGTGCAACATACCCATAAATGTTGTGACATACACTTAAAATACACGTCAAGAACATGCTTACCTATGTATATAAATATGTATGCATATATGTACACTAGGGTGGTCCAAAATAAGTAAAGTCGGAATTTTAATGCTCTCATCCCTTTATTTTTTATTTTTGAAATCAAACAATTTTTAGAGGACGCTCAAAGCGTTCAAAGTTTTCCATATATTTTATATAGGGGGGAAAAAACCACTTTTCGTTGAAATGGTATAGAATTCCTTAAAATCAGTATTTTTCGTTCGGAAAACTGTGGTTCTCTTCAGGAGACTGCCAATAATAAGACTCCGTTGTTTATTTAACCATTTTTTAATACTAACAATTTTTTCGTTTATCCCCCCATTGCATTTTCTAGCATTTGCAAGGGGTTTGGCAGACCTATAAAATATAGATACTGTGAAAAAATGGCTTAAAAATAACTGGGTATTATAATTGGGAATCTCCTGGAGAGAAACAGAGTTTCCTGGATGAAAAATATTGATTTTTAAGAATTCTATGCCATTTGTGAGAAAGGTTGTTTTCCTAATATAAAATACATACATACATGGAAGACTTTGAGCACCTCGAGTGAGCTCTAAATATTTTTTGATTTTAAACAAAAAAAATTTGCGGTGTATTTTTTTTTGGGGTATAAAACAATCCTAGGGGGTGAGAGTTTAAAAAACTCCGACATTACTTTTCTACATGCAAATTTTGAACCACCCTAATATACACACATATGTCCATAATACTATATATAATTGTATGAATATACAGTAATAGGTATTTTGCTACTTAGATTCAAACTCTTAGCTACCGTTAGCTTTGGGTGCCAATAAAATCCGAATTTGTGGTTCCAGTGCAACGCTCTTTATGTGACCAGCTTAAATTACCAGCTGTGCTGATTTTCTATGAACAAGCTCAAGCACTGCCGGATAGTTTTGTAAATGTACTTACATTTAAATTAATTTAAGATGCAATAACGGTAAAAAAACGTTGACAATAAAAAAGAAAAACAAACAAAAATAAATAAATCGCACTGCAGAAATGTGAAACTGCCAGTGAAGGTAGACGACAACTCAGCTAGAACGCTAGAAGCGGTTTACAAACTCACACACACTGCTTCGCTATGCGCTGATGTTCCCGATTATTTATTTTATACCCAGTTGAGAATCGGCATTTGACTAGTAAAGTCGAGGCAAAATTAATACATATCTATCTATACTCGTATGTATCTATTGGTGCAAATATAAAAATAAACTTATTTGCTTTTGGCTCTAAAGGTCATTCACAAGCATTTGCGCTTGCTGAATTTTCTGTCACAAAGCTGTAGGAGCGTTTTTAGTTTTTAATTTACTTAGGCCTTTGTATTACTGTTTGTCTTGAATTTGGCTGACAAATGGGAAAATGCTTGCAGTCACGACTTTGATGCCGCAGATGAAGAAGAGGCTATTTTTGGCGATTAAAAAAACGAGGCGAGTTTCGTTGACTTTTGATAAAATGAGGCACTACGATTAAGTTATGTTTCAATGCAGTAAAATGATACAAATATTTTATATTTTTTTTTAGTATTCTTGTTTAATAAGTAGTGAATCGTGTTAGTTGGTCTTCTTCGACAGCCACGACTGAATGAGTGGGGAGCGGTGGTGGCCATAAATAAGTCAGATTCTTCGGCTACTCTTATATGTAATCGAAATAATATTATTCTAGTACATAGAAATGGCATCAGGATACTAGGATGATGGACTCGTTATTTGCAAACCAGTTTTCACCGGTTTTTTTTTTTTTTTGGTTATGTATAGGGTATTTTTAATCTTCGAATATCGAATAAACCGTATTTTTTATCGAACAAACCGGATTTTTTAATTCAGTAAAGTCTTGACCCCTAATTCAAAAGTTTGGGTTTATCGAAGTTTTCAACGTTTTTTCCGCTTTAAAGGAAACCTTTAAATAATTTTAAAATTATATCCTAGGCTATTTGGGAATGAACAGTAGGTATTATCATATTTGATTCTAACAAATTAATGTTTGGTGCTTAAGCGTTTTCTACGTGTTTGGCCGAGCTGCTCCTCCAATTCGTGTTCTGCTTCTTGATGTTGTGACATAAATGGAGAGATCTACACTTTTACTCCCCCTCCGAAAAGGCTTTTTTTATGACAGAAGTACACTCGGAAGTTTGCCATTGTCTGCCGAGGTGCAATCGCTATTGAAATAGTTTTTTGTTTTTGTTGCTGGGACCACTAATTGAACCATGGACCTACCGAGTGGCAGTAGGCACATACTAAACCGGAAAAAAGTAAAAAATGCAATAAAGTTAAAATGAAAGTTAAAATAAGACAAAACGATATTTAGTTGCTTTACTTTTGATCTAAAAAGCTTTGAAGTTATTCTGCTTTGCTCTTTTGTAAATGAAATCTGAATATTTAATAATTAATAGTTTTATTGCAATTTTTGATCATTACTCCATACCAAAATAAGCATTTTAAATGTATGAAAATTATGCAAAATAAAACCGTTTTTTCCAAATTTCAAAATCGGAAACGGGTTTTTTTCAAATTGCAATTTTTCGAATAATTCGATAACCGGTTTTGGAAAAAGGCGACTAATCGAACACACTACTGGGTACCTAACTGGTCTCAACCAACTATGATTTCACCGAATAGGTGTGTAAAATGCCGACTCTGCTTTCAGAAGGATGTCACTTCGTAACGAGTTCTCCGCGACTCACAGGCCTGGGCTCGACAAGGGTTAGTTAATTTTAGAGCTAGTCAAATCTTATGTGTTAAAGAATTCGCTTACCGAGGGCCATTCCGGAAGGTGTGTTGTTCAAAACCGTATTTCAATAAACTTTCAAATTTTGTATATAAAATGTTGATGTTCCAAAAACACGTACTGATCGCTTTTGTTGAAAATTTTTCTAAAATAACTGTCACTCATTCAGCAACTTTTAAACCTGGTGCTATACTGGGAAAACAATGGGATCTATTTTTTTCGAATGTTTATATTAATGAAAAGCTCAAAAATTTTGTCCGACTCAACGCCAAGAACTCTCAGAAGATAAAAACTCTGCTTTACAGAGGAAAAAATTATCATCCCTTTATGGGACTAGGCTTAAATGTTGCGGAATGAGTGATACTTTTTCAAGAAAATCGATTGGTGCGTGTTTTTTGGAAATCAAAATTTTAAATAAAAAATTTTAAAATTTTATAGAAATACGTGTTTAAAAATTGTTTGGATTTCATATTCCAAACGGGTTTTGAAAACGAAAACTTAAAAAAATGCTCCCAATCGGGCCAGTTGCGCCCATCAAAGCATGGAAGCCTACTTTGTCCACAATTGCAAAACCCACCAATATATCTGCATTTGGCAGAATGCAGTCGATCTCTACTGGGACCCGGGAAATTAGAAAACCTATTAGTATACAAGAAGTTGAACTAAGAAAGAGTTGGGGACTTATACGTCACTCTAGACGGATCATCTTACTGAGATGTCTATTTTGTTGGTGGGTGTCTCTGCCCAAGGAAACTTTTTAAACATAAAAAAATATACCGACAATTATCAATTTCCCGAAAATGGTTTATCCATAATAGAATTGAAATTGTTGCCCAAGTTCCAAATTGTATCAATGCTAAGAATTTATGTAGGTTTGGTTAGAGTAAATCCTTAAGGTTTCCATTTACATTTGCAGGATATGAAAAAGATATTAACGAATCTTGATCAAAAATACAAAATGAGAAGATTTAGCGCTGATATTAATTTTGCGATTATGAATCGATTGCTTCGAAGATAAATAGTTCGAATACTTCGGCATTGTACATTCTTAGTTTGAAAACCAGTATGCAGGACGACCTTAACTACGAGAATCACACGCAACTGCAGTGCAATGGAATGTCAACGGAAAATATGCCTTCTGATGTACAAAGTAAGACCTGATGTCGCAGAGTGTTTCCACTATATGGTGGCAATCACCACGCCCTCCACTCTTTAACTCGTTAAAGAATTGATTACAGTTGAAAAAGAAACACGATCTTAAATAGGTTCAGCGCCAAAGGCAACTAAACTAATTAGTTGGTATCGCGGCGACAGAAGTATTTTTTTTTTTTTGCAAATGTACCGTCCCACAGTGCGGCCGAATCCCAAACGTGCGGCCAAAATTCGAGAAAATAAAATTTCTAGGCCCTTTTTAACATTGAGTTAGCTTAAGGGATCACGTAAGAACAGAGCTGGGTCGTGATGATTCCTTTAGGAATTAAATTACTCCCAATTACATCTTACAAGGAATTGTAATTAGGAATCAATTCCTTCAGTTCACACCACCTACCTTATAAACTGAACAGCCACAGTTTAAGTTTTTCAATTTTCTTAAGGTCCAATTAGTAATACTACTAGTAATACTACGTATATGTTATTTTTTCAAGGCAGTTAGCAACCAAGAAATTTAACAAAGCTCTTGCAATTCAACAGTAAAATACTTTTTTTTATACATTTTTCGATAACTTTTTAAATTACTTTGAGGAATGGAATTCGAAAAAAAATCAATTACATTTCCAATGCCTTTCAAAGGAATTAGAAAAAAAAAAAACATTACTAGCACGTAATTTATTCCAATTAAAATATGAAATTCCTTGTAATGGAATTAAAGAAAAAAAAAACAATTCCATTTGAAATTACTTCAAGGAATTGAAAAAGTAATCGATTCCTTTGCTGTGAACTGAAGGAATTGAATCTTAATTACCATTACTGAGGAATGTAATTGTAATTGTAATGTAATTGCATTTACCCAGCTCTGCGTAAGAAGCGAAAACTGTTCACGGTAGCGACCTGTACCCAAAATCCTCTCTTTATATTCATTTGTAGTGTGACCTTCTCAAAAGCACAACATTATTGGTTTAAAAAGCGAAAAGTTATTAACGTATAAATGTAGTTAAAGAATAGGAAATCAAGCAAACCTAAATGGACTCTACGTCTGAAGGTTAGTAAAATACGTAAAAAAAAACTACCACACTGCGATATTCTTTTTTAATGTTATTAGGCTCTTGTTTATCCAAATTTTCAAATAACAAAGAGAAATATACAATTTGGATTTCAATTGTTGTTGTAGACTTTTTTTTTAATTTATGGCTCACTATTATAAAATCACATAACTCTGTTGGCAAGTAGACTACTCATTTGTGCAGTATTAAAAAAAAAAAAATCAAAAAACAAATTTCGAACTTTTAAAAATTCTAAAAAATCAATCGACACCAAATTTTGGCCAATAACCAATCGTGTGACACTGCCTTTAAACTTGTATTTATACGGATGTTGGTAAAGAACGAACTATAAAAAACTGACCGAAATCATTTAACAACAAAAATAATATTTTAAAACTTGTCCAAATTTGGTGCGACTGTAATTTTTTCGACTACTGTACATAAGTTGGCTATAATAACTCGGCCATGCTATCATAGTAGCACTTATAAATATTTGACTTACAAACAAAATACGGGCAGGAATTTCAACCCAGTTTTTATGAAAAATTTTATTTTTATCAGTATTTTTCTTTTAATCAAAATATGTTGAAATAAAAGTGAAATTAAAAAAAAATTTGCCAGAACCCCCTTACCCAAAAAAAAAAAATACTGGCTACGGCCCTGGTCCCAGCTGCTTCAAACTTGGACTTTGTGAGACTAAAATTGAAAAATTGAATTGGCTATAAAACCGTATACTGAGTAAATGACGTGCAATTTTGTATATATGACTTTTACACTTTTCCCTCTCTAAGCCCAATCGGCTTTTGTGATCAACTGACCCTCACTTCTTTCACCTGTCTCCATATAGTCGGAACACTGTGCGTTGTGAACGTAAATTCTTTATGAAAATGTTGGTTCAAAAGGTTTAAATAAAAAAAAAAAAAAATGGTTTTAGGCGGAACGAACTTCGTCGGGTCCGCTGGTTCTACTAATGAACGAAGTTCTCTTTTTCTGTCAAATATTTTCAAATTAGTTGCCACTTCAATTATTTTAACATTCTGCGCTTTTAACGATTTCGTTGAAATCGGCGATCAGCGACATCAGCAACATTCATCGGCAAGCACTGCGCCAAACCAAAATGGCGGCTTACAACTAAAAGTACATAAATATATACATAGATGTTCAGAAACTACGGCATATTCGATGTCTCAACTGCATATAATGCTTAGAGATGTCATGAGGGCATCGATGGCAGCGCAATAGAATGCAATTCGTAATGGCCTGCATCTAACACTTTTATTGTAATTTTTTCATTTTTTTTTTATTATTTTTATTTCAGTGCCACAATGCGTTTCGTTGTCACTATTGCTACCGTTAAAGGTGCAATAGACACTTCGATTAACTCGTTTCGATTTTCAGTTAGATGCATGTGTTTTATACGGCAACATCACATGCACACATTGTCTTTATGTGCATATGTATGTATGTATGTTTGTACACTTACCCCCACTCCAGCCACTTTGACGCACACATGGAACATCTGACATTGAGTCTCCGCATCTGCATAGTAGCCGCCGAGTATCTTGTCGTGGCATGTGAATCGCGTCTGCGGCATATTTTGCAGGCTGTAAGTTGGCCATGGCTTGCGATAGTCCAGCTGCGCTTGTCCCAGAATGCAAGTGGCCAACGCTATGAGTATTGCTGCAACGACAAAACGACACAAATAAAATTATAAATTTTTTTTTATTGTTTCATTGTGATCTTGTTTTGATGTAAGTAATAGCTTATGTATTCGTATTCGCATTCGTATTGTAGTTGGTAGGTTTTTGGCAAAAAATATATGTATATGTACCTACTAGCTGCTACTTTGAAAGTTACAACTATAATCTGTTTTTTACAGTGGCTTCTGCTGCAGCCGTTGCGTAGATTGCGGCAGATGGCCTTGTCGATGAATTGGTTTTTGCTCAATTAAACTGGTTTAATGAGTTTTAATGCAAAGTTGGTGAATATCTATCTGTGCATACAAGTGTGTAAATTTGTGTTGTGCGCGCTTATTTAGGCCATTTAATGAAGAAAACTTGTCGCGTCGAAAATGCTTGCAAGCAGATGTATTCAGAATTTTTCTCAGATATACAGAGCAGCCTTGTATTTATTTTTTTGAAATATCCTCCATTTACTTAGTACTCGTATTAAAGTTATAAATACTAAAATGTTGTTGCATGTTGCATATATGTAGAAGCGATAACAATTCACCCATTTAATTTAAAATTGTGTCACAACTCTAAAATCTGACATTTTGAGATAATAATGTGGGACCACTTATTATATCATGCTTCGTTTTGTGATCAAATGTTGTATGGTTTCCGCGTGATAGGCGAATAGGCACCTCCATTTCCTGCATGGTGAGTATCAATTCAATCGGGTTTTTGGGTTATTATGCAAATATTTGAGTAAATGAGCATGTGCATAATAAAAAAATATTTGGTGTAAAAATAAAATACGAAAACTAGTCTAACCCAAAGCTGTCACTTCGCAATCTGGTAAAGGCCGTACAGTTGTAGAGGGCCATTTTTCGGTACTACCCTCATCGACCAAACAAGATGTATACAGTACAGTAAACAGTAGGTCGTCTTTAACACATATGTATGTGGACCATATTGAGCCTTAATCGCCGAAAAAACGTAAGTGACATTTTTTTCCAAAATTCTCATTTAGATGCAGGAATTATATTAAAATTTATAGGGCTACAAAACTGAGTGTCAAATTTTTTTCTAAAAAAGTTTGAAATTTCGAATTATCCCTAAAAACTAAATTCCTTTTCTCATGATTACGCTGCCAACGTGACATTAATCTAATAAAGAGATAAAATTCATTCGTATGGATCCAAAAGTGCAAATATGCGCGCCTGTAGACAGTTTTCGCGGAAGCCGGTTACACAAGCAAAAAATTAAAACTCTTAAATATTTTTTTTGACTTCTGCATACCTCAGACTACTTACGAATTGTTTTTTATCGAATATTGGAATTATATATATTCTTAATTAGTGAACAAAAACCACCTTCTTCGCAAAATATTTTTTTCGCACTGAATACCACCTATTTTGTATACAATTGAAAAAATCGTTTAAATATGAAGAGCTAACACATTACCACGTATACTAAAGCTGAGGTGAATGAGAAAGGTAAAGGGACGCCTTCTTCATATTGATGCTAAAATGTTAGATTTATATTTTATAAGCATTTAAGTAATGCCCGCCTGCAGAAGGCCATATGCACTAGATGGTTAATAAACGGTTGTGTCCTATATAACGCAAGCATGTGGCCACTTTTTGAAAATGCAAAAAAAAAAACGACACCATTTTCAAACACTTTAGCGCATGAGATTTTAATACAGAAGGTTGAAGATTTTTTTTCTTAATTTTCCTGTGTTTTAAATTAAAAGAAAGATGTGTCAAGTAAGATGGATGGTAAATAGAAAGGAAATTAAAGAATTGAAAATTTCGTGGAAAGTTGTAAACATTTTTTTTTTTTTTGGATACGTATATTTTTTACCTACATAGGTATTTTTGTTTCTTCAGCTTAGGAAATCGATCGATTACATTTTTTCGTTATCCTTGAATTAACATTTATTATTTGCTTCGAGGTGAAAATTCCCTTTTGGGCTAGTATGGCATTATTCTTTAAGCTAAGTTCTAGGTTCACATTAACTCAACAATATACATACATACATACAAATGTATGTGTTCAAGTTGATAGAATAGAACAGAGAAAAATCTCCCAAATGTAATTTTTTTTTAACTATGTAGCCTTTTAATTGTTTTTGCTGGTTTACAACGTCTCTATTATATAGAGAACATCTCGCGATTTTTATGGCTTTTGTAATTTTCCGCTTACCGCTTACGGACTCCTGGATCTGAGAATCCCTCAACTTATGCATTTTTTGCAATTAAAAGAGCGCCTGTTTTGCCCATTCTTACTCTATTCTTAAAGTCCTTTAAAATTTTAAAAGAGGTTTTAAGTACAAGTTTAGTATTTAACTCTACTACACTCGCTATACACACAAGGATGTGCCTATTCACTGAAAGAATCAAAAAAATACTAAAGCAGCTTTTTTGTGTAGTGTCACAAAACTAATTTGCATAAGACTGCAGACAGAAAAAGCTTTCGATTAATCTAAGTATACATTTTACATACATACATACATATGAACACTATTAATAAGTTGATTTTAAGATCTTGATTTTATGATATAATTGTCGTTATTTGTGCGTGGCAAATCCAGCTCAGTACGTAGAAAAATACACTTACCAACTCTCACGAGTAATCCAAAGGAAATAATAGTCATTGCCATGAATTGCATAGCAATTGTGCATGCCGGTAGTATTTAAAGGGCACGGATGAGAAATTAAGTTTTTCATTCACGGTTTTTATAGATGCCCTAAGCAAATAGAATTTGAAGGAAACTACTACAACCAAATCACATAATCATCTGACATAAGGAAATATGATTTTGTCGTTCCTTATCGTTTCTTTCAGTAGCATACAAATAGCTTTTATAATGGATGTTAGCTTGGTTTTGTATAATTTCACAAATTTTCGATGTTTTTCTTAATGAGTGCCACATACTAGATACATATATCCATCTACTTATTTTTTTGATAAACATATGTACAATCGAAAATTTGGAACAAACGTAATTAATCACAAGTAAATTTATTTCTCAAATAGCTTAATTTCAGTAAAATAATAGCTATTTGTATTCACACATTACTGCTGACATAAGTATTATGACTGTCAGCAAAAAATCCAAATTTACAACTTCTCGGATTAACATCCAAGAAATAAAAAAAAAAATGAACTAATAGCGTAAACTCTTCGGAATTATGATGATGTTACACAAAAACAAGTGATAAATCAAAACGCAAACTAAAAAAAAAACACAAACAAAAAAACAATGTTGGTTGACTAATTTCCGTTTTAGGAGATATGTAGCTTAATGTCAAAGCACAGCGCTCTACCATGATAGTCATTAGCCAAGTTAAATGGCACGAAAAACATGAAAATAAGTTTAATAAAAAGTCGAACTAACATACGCCCAACATAAATGGTGAATGAAATTGGTAAGACAGTAAGCAAAAGATTCACATCATTAAGGAATTGATTAAAAATATTTTCATTGCATAATTAAAATAACAAGAAAAAAATGAACGAATGAAGCTTTTTAAGCTTTTCAAAGCTTAATTGTTGGGAATACATATTAAGTGTATTTCTTTTGCAGATTCTTCGCCACCTTGAATTTTCGTAATTACTTACGCCCCAAACGCCCGTGAAGAAATTCCAAAACAATGCATTAAACCATAGTCGCTGTGAAGTGTTGTTAGATATTCAAAGAATTGTCTATTAAATAATATGCAATGTATATTTGAGGCTACATATCATGATTGACAGCCACGCTAAGTAGACACAGTAGAATGCCGAAATAGTTTTTTAAATTATTTATTAACATTTATGATGGCGCTCTAAGCTTCGCGGCCGGCCGATGTGTGGTAACTGACTATCCGACATATTGTTTCAACATATCAAGCATCTGTCTTTTTATATATGGAAGCACATTAGTCGTGTGAATGTGAGTTTTTCTCGCCTCTTCATTGTTGTTTATTTAATGGATTGGCAACGCCTAGCCTTCGAAATCAATGTTTACTTGGTGCGGCACCTGCTTTGGCTGATCACCTGGGGCTGTGTTTGATGCGAACAAGCAATGAACGATGAATACAAATTTACGTGTGTTTGCTGGTATTTTAATTACACTAGTTTACAGCAATAATCGATAAGAGATGGCTGCTCCTATACAATGTTGAAAGGAACCCACACTGAGGCCGCCATGAAGCCATTGTAATACTGTCATAGAGAGTGGCTTCTAAAGCCCTCCTTGCTTTAGAAGTGAAACCAATTCATCTGTCATAGATACTAGTCGTACTCAGTGGTCACTTCAGTCGGAAAAGTGAGCTAGATCTGCTCTCAACTAATTTAAACCAGATGTGTCATAACATCATAGATGTGGGCTCCGTAGAGCATCATCTATCAGCCTGCAGCTTAACTCAAAAATTTCATCTATTCACAATGAATCGAACGAATTGGTCTATTGATGTCAAATGCATATCAAAATAACTTTTTATTAATAATGAAACCTATTAAAAAAGTGTTTAGCATTTCTTCAAAAAAATCTGCAAATTGCAAAATTTGTTTCAAATTAAAAATAATAAACATTATGAAAATTAAATATGCCAAATTTTCTTGTGACTTTTTTCATTTAATATGTACGTTAAGAGTAATAGAAATATTTTACTAAAGTTATTTTGAATTGCCCAAATTTTGGTTACCTCTTATAGCCAAAACTTGTTCCATTAACTTGTTAGCTAGTGTTTTTTCATGCCATTCCCTAGTACAAGTAATTGGTATAAGCGTGTCAAAGATTTGTAAATTTTGATAGAGGCAATCAAATTGACGTTTCAGACAAATTAACTGTACACATATTCATACATGACATCAAACATTTCACAAATGCTTGCAGCGCTATTTACAGGTGTGTAATGCTTCGATTACAGCGTGGCAATATTTTTGAAATTTTGTAAAGGAAATCACTTCACGAGTATATGTACACATGTATGTACAATGTTTTTTGTAAATAAAAAAAATATTTAA